ACAATGTGTATTGAATTTGTAGGTCAGTTTGGGCAGTACTGCCATCGTGACAATATTAGTCTTCCAATCATGGGATGTTTTTTGATGTATTTAGACCTTTAATTTCTTTTAACAATGTTTTGTAGTTTTCAGAGAATAAGTTTTGTAATTTTTTGGTTAAATTTATTAAGTATTTTATCTTTTTTGATGCTATTGTAAATGAAATTGTTTTTTTCAAATTCATTTTGGATTACTCATTGCTGATATATAGACACAATTGATTTTGCATATTATATTTTAAAATTTTCTCAGTTTAAATTTAAAAAATGATAGATAACCTATATAAACAAACTGCTTTGAGGTCATCAATAATTTTTAAGAGTATAAAGGTGTTTTGAAGTGGAAATATTTAAGAACCACTGCTTTACTAAGGTATAGCCAGTATATAATAAACCACATATTTAAAATATAGAATATAATGAGTTTTGAGATACATGTATATTTAAGGAATTTATTACCACATCAAGGTAATAAATATATCCATCACCCCTAAAAGTTTCCTTCTATGCTTAGTAACTCCTCCTTCCTTTCAGCTCCGTTCATCCTACTTTGTCTTTAGGAAAAGTGATTTGCTTTCTATCACTATACATTAGAATGTATTTTCTAGAATTTTATATAAATGAAATAATATAAAGCATATTATTTTTGTCTAACTTCTATTTTGATTCATTTTGTTGTAAACCAACATTGCCTTTTTTACTTTTCAGTTTAATCCACTGTATGAATATACCACAATAAGGGTCGCCTTGGATGGCTAGCTAGAATTTGACTTTTTGATATAGCCCTCTGAAGTGGGAACAGAAACATTTTTGTCTGGACAAAAAGCAAACCACTAAACTTGTAGCTTTTATAATTACTAAACAGTGGCCTTACCACTGATCTGTATTTCTGTTCTTGTACAGTACCCTTATCCTACCCTTATGTCTCATGGATGGCTATGATCAAAATAACACCTATAAAATAGCAAGAGCAGACTTGAGCTGGTGAGTGTATAATACAATATACATGTGATGTATTATAGAACTATATATCTAAAACTTATATAATTTTTTTAAAATATATTTTATTGATTTTTTACAGAGAGGAAGGGAGAGGGATAGAGAGCCAGAAACATTGATGAGAGAGAAACATCGATCAGCTGCCTTCTGCACGCCCCCCACTGGGGATGTGCCTGCAACCAAGGTACATGCCCTTGACTGGAATCGAACCTGGGACCCTTGAGTCCACAGGCCTACACTCTATCTACTGAGCCAAACCGGTTCTGGCAAACCTATATAATTTTATTAACCAATGTCACTCCAATAAATTCAATAAAGAAAAAAAAACCAAACCAGAAATGATCTAAACCTGGGATCTAGGATTTGACAGATACATGGGCTCCCTTTATGCAGAGCACAGAGGCTCTCCTCATGTAGTGAGCAGGCAGAAAGCTACATAGCACTGCAGTGGGCCTTTGAGTGGTGTATTGAAGTATCTTTCTTGGAATAAAAGGTCTACTCGGTAACTGCTGCTGTTGGAGTGGCTGCTGCAGGGGAAGATCCCGTCTTCTCTCTGAGGTAGAGAGTTAGACATGGAAAGACTGGTAGAGGCAGAAGGATACCAGATGACACCAGGGCCTTGAAGAGAGTGGGGGGTGGGGAGAAGCAATCTTATTCTTAGATCCTGCCCTTAGACAGGATGAAATATGCTCTAGCCTGATATCCATATGCATAGCCATGGTTGGCTTGGGTGAAAAGGACGAGCCGGTTGCTTTTTACAAAATAACCTGGCAAACTGGTTTGGAAGGAGAAAGATCATGATATCTTTCTCATACAGCTGATAACTGATTTTACAGACAAAGGTCACAGGCCTCCGAAGAATACAGAAACATATCTCTTGCCTGAAGCTATTCTTTTATTTTTAAAAAAATATTTTTATTGATTTCAGAGAGGAAGGGAGAGGGAGAGATAGATAGAAACATCAATGATGAGAGAGAATCACTGATCAGCTGCCTTCTGCATGCCTGCAACCTGGGCTTGTGCCCTGACTGTGAATTGAATTGTGACCCCTGGCTCATAGGTCGACACTCAACCACTAAGCCATACCAGCTGGGTTAAAGCTATCCCTTTGACAGCAGTAAAAGTTCTATTCCTATATTATAAAAACGTTGTTTTCATAGGATCTTGAGGTTCCCTGATATTGTGACAGAAGGTCAAAAGCTCTTT